TTGCTACCACCTTACTTCACGCCTGCATTACCTCTCTCATGCGCATCATTTTAATAGCATACTAACAAGTATCTTATCCATTTTCTTTTCTCCAATCCATCCTGCACACTGACACCCAAAGTGATTTTTCTAAAATGAAAATCTGATGTTGGTCTTTTGTTTAAAATCATTAAATAGATCCCACAGCCTGTAACACAATGGCCAAGCTCTCTAACGTCTACGATCTGATTCCCATCTACCTTTACAGTCTTTCTCTCACCTCTTCCCATGCCCACCCTTATACTCTACACCACTATCTCCTTACACTCCATTATTTATCTTTAACTACCTGAGGTTCCTAAAACTTGCAATGCTGTTTTATGCACATGTTTCTTTTTTTCTGCTCCTCCCCTTGAAGGGCCTTCATCTTTTGCCTTCATAGCGATGCATAGAGCTACCATGTCTCTTTTCAACATCAGTTCAAGTCCCCTAATGTCAGCTCCCTATCCCCAACTTTTCCAAGAAAGAACTGAATATTCCTTCCTGTACAGGGTGCCTATACAGATTTCTATTACAGGATCCATAATTTTTATTGTTACGGTATGTTTACTTAGACTGTAGGCTCCTTGTGAGCAGGAACCTAGTCTTATTTACCAAAGTATCCTTACTAACTAGCACAATAATTGGCACATCACAGGCACCTACAAAGTTTTTAACCAATTAATAAATAAATAAGCTTCATTACTTAGGTTAAAGGTTTTTCACTGCCTACCAAAAGGTATAGTCTATCATCAGTGATTGAGTTCCATCATTTATTTCCTTGAAATGTCTGTTGCACTCCACAATCATCACCCTATTATATGTCCTCATCCTGCATTTTAATGCCACACTAATTTTCCAAAAGCCCACATTCATCATAAAAGAGCCCCATTCATGAACTTACAGTGAATACTATTTTACACCCAAATGCCTCCATTTACCTTTAATGTCTCTCAAAAAGCTGGCCCTACCTTTACCTATCCAATTTCAACTCGTCATCTGGCCGATTTCTTCATCGTACCTTGAGTCTGGTACATAAATTCTTACCCTTTCCTTTCACCCAAACTGTTTCATTCTATATCCACACCTTATTTTTACCTAATCCAATTAAATACTAACCATCGGGCTTCCCTGGTGGCGCAGTGCTTGAGAGTCCGCCTGCCGATGCAGGGGACGCGGGTTCGTGCCCCGTTTCGGGAGGATCCCACATGCCGCGGAGCGGCTGGGCCCGTGAGCCATGGCCGCTGAGCCTGCGCGTCCGGAGCCTGTGCTCCGCAAATGGGAGAGGCCGCAACAGTGAGAGGCCCGCATAACGCAAGAAAAAAAAAAAAAAATACTAACCATCACTTATGGGCCAGTCTGATTTTTTTCCATTAAAACTGTACCTGAATGCACCCCCTCCATTTTTTAACCATATGCTATAGCGAATACATTCAGTACCAGTCACATCAGCACTTCATTCTTTTGTTTTGAAGAATGTTACTTTTTTCTCTCCAAGTGGAGAGAAAAATTTACTCCTTCAGGTAAATCTCATATACATCCTATTGTATTTCCTTTTAGATCCCTAACAATTCTTAGTTACTATGATAGTAAGCCATCATTATATGGTACAGTATTTTAAAAACTTTTTAAAAGCTTTTTTAAAACTAAATAAGTCCTCTTTTTAAATAAAATATTATGTTGCAGCCCAATACATACAATTGATAAAAGGAGAGGGACTCTGATCGAAATGGGACGCAGAGCTTGGAGTGCTGCCCATCTGGCCTTCCCCAACTTGCTTAGCCACATGGTAGCCCTGGAGCACCTCTGCAAATCTCCTGAGGCTCTTTGGAATACAATTTGAAAACTACTGTGTTCAAGTTCTAGGTCTAACACTTATTGGCCATGTACCCTTGGGTAATCACAAACTCTCTAAGTTTCAATTTCCTGAGATAATGAGTATACATGAGAAAGGCCTTTGTAAACTTTAAAGCTTTCTATAAATTTGAGGAATTTACAACTTCACAAGCTGTGAGCTAAACTGGTTATATTATACAATCTTAACAATAGTTATATCACCCAATGGTACCGACTGTGAAAGCATTCTACATTTTAAAATCCACTTTTATTTAAAATAAAATAAAACATTCTAAATATCATCCAATTCTGGGAATCCCAAGTCCTCTGCCTTGTTTCTTGTATTAGAATTAACTTTCTAATCTCCATTTGGGGGCAATAACGTATAATGATTAAGAGGACATGCTTTTGAGTTGGGTAGACTTGGTTTGAAAGCCAGCTTTACCACTAATTAGGTGTGTAAACTTGGATAAGTTACATAAACCTCCCCAAGCCTTAATTTCCTCATCTCAAAAATGAGAACAGCACTAACAGCTTTTCAGTTGCTGCTAGATTAAGGAAAATAACCTGAACTAATTATTTAGCACAGAGTATGAAACCCCGTAAGAATCAGTAAGTTAACTATTATTTTCCTCTTGGGAAGAGGTGTGGGAGAGTTGAAGCACTTTGCATTAAAGTAGCATTCAATATTTCTTTTCCTTTTTTTCATGGGCAAAGGGTCATAGCACCAAAAACAAAATACAGTAAGTAAAGTCTATAAATGAAAAAACATGACAACTTTGACAACTCAGAGTGCCAAGTTATAAAACAGATGGTTTTTTTCCAGATATCCTGTAACAATTAACTAGCATTTCTTTACTGCTGGATTTTTTAAATCTTCTTTAAAGCTTAGGCAATATCTTGTTCTTAATACACCTTCACAACACACCTCAAAGTCAGCAAACAATCAGTAAATGTTTATTAAATTAAACAGATTTCCTACAATCAGACATTTACCATATAACAAATAACTTCAAAGCAACTATCTCTCTTTTTTTTTTTTTTTTGCGGTACGCGGGCCTCTGACTGTTGTGGCCTCTCCCGTTGCGGAGCACAGGCTCCAGACGCACAGGCTCAGCGGCTATGGCTCACAGGCTCAGCTGCTCCGTGGCATGTGGGATCTTCCCGGACCGGGGCACAAACCCGTGTCCCCTGCATTGGCAGGCGGACTCTCAAGCACTGCGCCACCAGGGAAGCCCAGCAACTATCTCTATTCAACTTGGAATGGTAGCTTCCTATGAGAAATATTACTAATCATGGGCTATTTCTCATGAAAATTGAAGTTTAAAGTTAAGTTTAATTTTAGGAAAGAGGCTAATTAAAAATAAAATCAGTCTCAATTTGAAAAAGGAAACTTCACTATCTTTAAAATTATAAACATAAATGTGTGCAAGTCTTTAAAGAATACTCTTTGCCATACAAAATTAAGTACCTGATAGGAAAGGTGTTAGGGATATGAGTTAAATAAAACAAGGCAAGTATACACTACGCAGTTTTTTTTTTAAGTAGAGATATATGTACCAATATGGAAAGATGTTCAAGAAACATCTAGGTGAAAAGAGCAAGTTGTAAAAGAGTATGTATGGTATGAGCCCATTTGTGTTTGTCTGCTTTTAAAGATACACAAACAAATCTGTTTGTGCACAGAAAATTTTCTGAAGACTATTTAAGACCCCTACTCACATTCTATAATAATATAATTAAGAAAGGAAGCCAAATCACTACCAATTTAGTATTTCGTAACATGGAAACTGAAATTACTCTTTTTTAAAAAGTATTATAAAAACGATAGATTTTAACCTTCATGTGGCCCTAAGCCATTATCAAAGAGATTTGATAGAGACTGTCACAAAACCTCTTTCCTAAATGCTCTATCAGTAAACTTTAAATGGAAGAAAAGTTCATTGATTACAAAAACAAAATATTTGCTTATATAGACAAAGGACATTTAAAAAATTTTCCCAAATGCTAAATATTCATGTTACTTTATTGACTTATATACATTGAAAAATAATTGGAGAAATCACTGATTTATATTAATGTTATAAATATATTTATTTATATTACCTTTTGTTTTAGTTAAATGTTCCAACCATATGAAGAACTAAGATACTGTTGAATTTTCTTTACAAATGACTTAAGTTTGGTAAAGTGACACTGTAACCCAGTAGTTGCTTTCCCAATTCTCTTAACAGCTACATGGAACATTAAGTGCTTAAATTTGAAACCAAGACAACAGGAACAGCACCTCCCTCAATAATCTCCCCCCAAAATGACATTTTAGATAATTAGAATAGGTTTAAGTATATAAACTCTTTATTTAGATCAGAGAACATACAGTTTTCTCGCATGTTCAGTAGGGTCAAAATGATATCTACCATATTAAATTTCTATATTAATATTAAATACTGTTCTCTTATCCAAGAACAATGGACCAGAAGATAGATGTAGATACTATTCCTGTCTCTGCCACTTATTAGGTAAAAACTGGGCAAGTCATCGAATGCCTCTGACCCTAAGTTTCCCCATCTATAAAATGAGAGGACTTTCACACTTAGAAATGTGAAAGTCTTACTTACTTTATGACAGTGAAAAATATCAAGTAGGAGACACTTTTATTTGCTGATTCTTAATTGCTATATGACAACAAAAAATGTTAAGGAAGAGACAATTAAATCTCATATCTCATATATAGTTATAATGTTATAGCAATAAAATTAACTATACAATTAAATCTCATATCTCATATATAATTATAATGCTATAATGTTAAGGAAGAGACAATTAAATCTCATATCTCATATATAATTATTAAAATTATGTATGCCCTCTATGGGAGATTATTAAAAGAGAACCATACTATTTCCTTTAAGAAACCCTTTTCTGCAGGGCTGAATTTTTTATTTGGCATAAAATATGTGTTTCAGATTACACTATCTTTTGTGGTGTTATGTGGAGAATTGACCTCTCATTTAAATACAGTTTTATTCTCTTTGAAAAATTCTGAAATATAGCCTTAGTCAGATGAATAACTTTCATAGTAGGAATAAAATTTCCTTGGTCCACATTAGTTTCTTTTTTTAAGCTAACAATTTAAAGATGTTTACCTTTGGCAGCATGGGAGTATCCCTTTTCTTCTTCTTTTCTGAATTAGGGTCATCTAACAAGTCTGGCTCAAAGGTATAAAGTTCAGTAAGCTCATTCATGGTAAAATGACGTTCAACTTGCTGTTGATCAACAACTCGAAAAGACAGTGACTGCTTAGTTACTTGCCGATCATAAATCTTATCTTCCATGGTTCCCTTTGTAAAAAGGAATGAACAATACGCAAATAAATAAATTTTGTAAACATGAAACTTAATCACGAAGAAATATAGGTTATTGGTTACTACAAAACAGCAGAACTTCATAGTGATATACTGCCATGAAGCAAATTTTATGTACAATGCTGTTTAATTCATGAGAGATTTTTATGTTCAAAGTAGTTTACATTGGCAAAAAAGAAAACTATATTACTGATAATCATTCTAAATTTTTTCACTAATATGCATTCATTTGTTGCTTTAAATAATTCTGTACTTGGTGGAAGCAGGAAAGCAGTCAGATACCAAGGTAAACAGAATAAAAGAGTACATGAAATAAGATTTTAGGAGGTTACTGATGTAAGAATGCAAGAGAACAGTTTAATTCCTTTCCAATGGAATACAATAAGCTCTCAACAATCACTATAAACTGTCTTTATGTAATTTAAGTCTTACTTTCCATAACTTCAGGACAAAAAATTAATAACTAAAATGCCAATATATTATATATTCTATATGGCATTCATATAGAAATATGAAATATGATCAGTTCCACCCAATCTTTCAATATTAAAAAGAGAATGTAGAGCTTCCCTGGTGGCGCAGTGGTTGACAGTCTGCCTGCCGATGCAGGGGACACGGGTTCGTGCCCCGGTCCAGGAGGATCCCACATGCCGTGAAGCGGCTGGGCCTGTGAGCCACGGCCTCTGAGCCTGTGCGTCCGGAGCCTGTGCTCCACAACAGGAGAGGCCACAACAGTGAGAGGCCCATGTACCGCAAAAAAAAAAAAAAAGAGAGAGAATGTAAATGATAAACCTACCTGAGCTAAGAACCTATATACATACACAGGTTTAGTTTGTCCAAAGCGATAAACTCTGAATATACTCTGGATGTCATAAGATGGATTCCAAGAAGCATCAAATATAATCACTCGATTAGCAGCTACCAGATTAATTCCAAGAGATCCTGCTTTGGTTGAAATGATAAACAAGCGCCCTCTGAAAATGAAAATACAAAATAAATGTTTAGTAATGAGTGCTACACATATATCTTATTTATGATATGACTTCTTCATTCTAAGGCAGTTTTATGAACAATCAAGAGTTCAGAGAATTCATTACTCACTGAAAAAAAGACATGTCTAAGGAGTTGGGATGATGATTTACATGCACAAGAAGAATCTTACTGCAGTAAAATGAAACAGTCTGATTTAGGAATAAAGATAAATATGGAAACCACATGTTTAAAATGTATTCAACATATTTATAGATTTCTCAGTAAATGTAGAAAATTTACATACAACTCAAAAAAATATATTCTGTTCACTACTGTTATGAGCACTAACTGCATCAAAATGAAGGGCACTGCCCAAGGAGCTGAGTGTAGTAGCGGTGACTGATATGCAATTACAGTATAATGTAACAAATGTAAGAAGAGAAGTTAGATAGATGCTAGGTACTGAGGTAAGAAAAATATGATCATGTAGACAGAGGGCTCCAGGAAGAATGTATTCAAGAAAAAAAAAACTGATAGATAACCTGCTAAGTTGGAACACAAGAATTTATATTTCTTGTTTTTTTAACATCTTTATTGGAATATAATAGCTTTACAAAGTTGTGTTAGTTGGTGCTGTGTAACGAAGTGAATCAGCTAAATGTACACATATATCTCCATATCCCCTCCCTCTTGCATCTCCCTCCCACCCTCCCTATCCCACTCCTCTAGGTGGTCACAAAGCACCAAGGTGATCTCCTGGTGCTATATGGCTGCTTCCCACTAGCTATCTATTTTACATTTGGTAGTGTATATATGTCAATGCCACTCGCTCACTTCATCTCAGCTTACCCTTCCCCCTCCCTGTGTCCTCAAGTCCATTCTCTACGTCTGCGTCTTTATTCCTGCCATGTCACTAAGTTCATCAGTACTTTTTTCTAGATTCCATATATGCATATGCATATGTCTTAGCATATAGTATTTGTTTTTCTCTTTCTGACTTACTTCACTCTGTATGACAGACTCTAGATCAATCCACCTCATTATAAATAACTCAATTTCATTTCTTTTGGTGGCTGCTAATATTCCATTGTGTATATGTGCCACATCTTCTTTATCCACTTGTCTGTCGCTGGGCACTTATGTTGCTTCCATGTCCTGGCTACAGTAAACAGCGCTGCAATGAACATTGTGGTACATGACTCTTTTTGAATTATGGTTTTCTCAGGGTATATGCCCAGTAATGGGGTTGTTGAGTCATACAGTAGTTCTACGTTTAGTTTCTTAAGGAACCTCCATACTGTTCTCCATAGTGGCTGTATCAATTTATATTCACACCAACAGTGCAAGAGGGTTCCCTTTTCTCCACACCCTCTCCAGCATTTACTGTTTGTAGATTTTTGATGATGGCCATTCTGACTGGTGTGAGGTGATACCTCACTGTAGTTTTGACTTGCATTTCCCTAATGATTAGTGATGTTGAGCATCCTTTCATGTGTTTGTTGGCAATCTGTATATCTTCTTTGGAGAAATGGTTATTTAGGTCTTCTGCCCATTTTTGGATTGGGCTGTTCTTTTGATATTGAGCTGCATAAGCTGCTTATAAATTCTGGAGATTAGTCCTTTGTCAGTTGCTTCGTTTGCAAATATTTTCTCCCATTCTGAGGGTTGACTTTTTCACTTGTTTATGGTTTCCTTTGATGTGCAAAGATTTTAAATGTCATTAGGTCCCATTTGTTTATTTTCATTTTTATTTCCATGTCTCTAGGAGGTGGGTCAAAAAGGATCTTGCTGTGATTTATGTCATACAGTGTTCTGCCTATGTTTTCCCATAAGAGATTTATAGTGTCTGGCCTTAGATTTAGCTCTTTAATCCATGGTGAGTTTAATTTTTGTGTATGGTGATAGGAAGTGTTCTAATTTCATTCTTTTACATGTAGCTGTCCAGTTTTCCCAAAACCACTTATTGAAGAGGCTGCCTTTTCTCCATTGTATATTCTGGCCTCCTTTATCAAAGATAATGTGACCATATGTGCGTGGGTTTACCTCTGGGCTTTCTATCCTGTTCCATTGATCTATATATCTGTTTTTGTGTCAGTACCATACTGTCTTGATTACTGTAGCTTTGTAGTACAGTCTGAAGTCAGGGAGCCTGATTCCTCCAGCTCCGTTTTTCTTTCTCAAGATTGTTTTGGCTATTTGGTGTCTTCTGTGTTTCCATACAAATTGTGAAATTTTTTGTTCTAGTTCTGTGAAAAATGCCACTGGTAGTCTGAAAGGGATTGCACAAATCTGTAGATTGCTTTGGATTATATAGTCATTTTCACAATGTTGATTCTTCCAATCCAAGAACGTGGTATATCTCTCCATCTGTTTGTATCATCTTTAATTTCTTTCATCAGTGTCTTACAGTTTTCTGTCTTATAGTTTTCTGCTACAGGTCTTTTTTCTCCTTAGGTAGGTTTATTCCTAGGTATTTTACTCTTTTTGTTGCAATGGTAAATGCGAATGTTTCCTTAATTTCGCTTTCAGATATCTCATCATTAATGTATAGGAATGCCAGAGATTTCTGTGCATTAATTTTGTATCCTGCTACTTTACCAAATTGGTTGATCAGCTCAAGTAGATTTCTGGTAGCATATTTAGGATTCTCTATGTATAGTATCATGTCATCCACAAACACTGACAGTTTTACTTCTTCTTTTCCGATTTGGATTCCTTTTATTTTCTTTCTTCTCTGAACACTGTGCCTAAAGCTTCCATGTTAAATAAAAGTGGTGAGAATGGGCAACCTTGTCTTGTTCCTGATCTTAGTGGAAATGGTTTCAGTTTTTCACCATTGAGAACGATGTTGGCCCTGGGTCTGTCATACATGGCCTTTACTATGTTGAGGTAGGATCCCTCTATGCCTACTTTCTGGAGAGTTTTTATGATAAATAGGTGTTGAATTTTGTAGAAAGCTTTTTCTGCATCTATTGAGATGATCATATGGTTTTTATCCTTCAATCTGTTAATAGGGTGTATCACAATGATTGATTTACATATATTGAAGAATCTTTGCATTCCTGGGATAAACACCACTTGATCATGGTGTACGATCCTTTTAATGTGCTGCTGGATTCTGTTTGCTAGTATTTTGTTGAGAATTTTTGCATCTGTGTTCATTAGTGATACTGGCCTGTAGTTTTCTTTTTTTTGTGACATCTTTGTCTGGTATTGGTATCAGGGTGATGGTGGCCTCCTCAAATGAGTTTGGGACTGTTCCTCTCTCTGCTATATTATGGAAGAGTTTGAAAAGGATAGGTGTTATCTCTTCTCTAAATGTTTGAGAGAATTTGCCTGTGAAGCCATCTGGTCCTGGGCTTTTGTTTGTCGCAAGATTTTTAATCACAGTTTCAATTTCAGTGCTTGTGATTGGTCTGTTTATATTTCCTATTTCTTCCTGGGTCAGTCTCGGAAGGTTGTGCTTTCCTTAGAATTTGTCTGTTTCTTCCAGGTTGTCCATTTTATTGGCGTATAGTTTCTTGCAGTAATCTCTCATGATCCTTTGTATTTCTGCAGTGTCATTGTGGCTTCTCCTTTTCACTTCTAATCCTGTTGATTTGAGTCTTCTCCCTTTTTTTTTTGATGAGTCTGGCTAATGGTTTGTCAATCTGTTTACCTTCTCAAACAACTACCTTTTAGTTTTATTGATCTTTGCTGCTGTTTCCTTCATTTCTTTTTCATTTATTTCTGATCTGATTTTTATGATTTCTTTCCTTCTGATAACTTTGGGTTTTTCTTGTTCTTCTTTCTCTAATTGCTTTATGTGTAAGGTTAGGTTATTTATTTGAGATGTTTCTTGTTTCTTGAGGTAGGACTGTATTGCTATAAACTTCACTCTTAGAACTGCTTTTGCTGCATCCCATAGGTTTTGGGTCATCGTGTTTTCATTGTCATGTTTCTAGGCACTTTTTGATTTGCTCTTTGATTTTTTCAGTGATCTCTTGGTTATTTAGTAATGTACTGTTTAGCCTCCAGGCATCTGTATTTTTTCGAGTTTTTTCCCTATAATTGATACCTAGTCTCACAGCGTGGTGCTTGGAAAAGATACTTTATATGATTTCAATTTTCTTAAATTTACCAAGGCTAGTTTTGTGCCCCAAGATATGATCTATCCTGGAGAATGTTTCATGCACACTTGAGAGGAAAGTGTGTTCTGTTCTTTTGGGGTAGAATGTCCTATAAGTATCAATTAAGTCCATCTTGTTTAATGTATCATTTAAAGCTTGTGTTTTCTTATTGATTTTCATTTTGGATGATCTGTCCACTGGTGAAAGTGGGGTGTTAAAGTCCCCTACTATGAATGTGTTACTGTCAATTTCCCCTTTTATGGCTGTTAATATTTGCCTTATATAGGAGATGCTCCTATGCTGAGTGCATAAATATTTACAATTGTTGTATCTTCTTCTTGGATTGATCCCTTGATCATTATGTAGTGTCCTTCTTTGTCTCTTGTAGTAGTCTTTATTTTAAAGTCTATTTTGTCTCATATGGGAATTGTTACTCCAGCTTTCTTCTGATTTCCATTTGCATGGAATATCTTTTTCCATCCCCTCATTTTCAGTCTGTATGTGTCCCTAGGTCTGAAGTGGGTCTCTTGTAGATAGCATATATATGGGTCTTGTTTTTTTATCCATTCAGCCAGTGTATGTCCTTTGGTGGGAGCATTTAATCCATTTACATTTAGGATAATTATCGATATGTATGTTCCTATTACCATTTTCTTAATTGTTTTTGGTTTGTTATTGTAGGTCTTTTCCTTCTCTTATGTTTCCTGCCTAGGGAAGTTCCTTTAGCATTTGATGTAAAGCTGGTTTGGTGGTGCTGAATTCTCTTAGCTTTTGCTTGTCTGTAAAGGTTTTAATTTCTCTGTCAAATCTGAATGAGATCCTTGCTGGGTAGAGTAATCCTGGTTGTAGGTTTTTCTCTCTCATCACTTTAAATATGCCCTGCCAGTCCCTTC